CACATATATAATTATAATTAATCATTATTATATATATATATATATATATATATATATATATCACATATAATAAAATATTATCTATCATTCATTTTGTGGTTGAATTGTTCTGCTATATTTCTACTTCTTGGTTTGGGCATTTGCTGTTTCCAAATTTTTTTAATTTTATTATCTTTTTTTTTTGTAATCCTTTAGTGCACATTTTATCTTTTTTTAACGAAATTTAAAGATATATGCACATTTTTAAAAAGCTTTCAAACATTTTCACATACTCGTATTGCTTAAATCAACGTCTCACCTTGAAGTATCTTTGAAGTTTCGCTTGCAAGAGTACGCCGTGCATTGTAAATTTAACAGGCAAATACTACCGCTTATAAGATAGAAACTTTTTACCAGTTACCGGAAAAAGCAAGAAGTTTGCAAATAATTTAAATATTCTACTTCGAGTTAAGTCAGATACCAAAACTCAAGCTGTGCTGAATAATTTGTCAAAATTTGTTTGGATTTGATGTCGAGTATGTATGGCTTAAGGCACGTAATTCATTCGCTTGCATATCAGGAAATCTATGCTAGAGAATTAAGGATGCCTCAATGGGTACTTCACTTATTCCGAATTATACGCACATTAAGGGGTTTTTTTATTTAAATTTTTTGAATGTTTTGTCATTTTGCTGTACTATTGCTCTTGTAATTTGTACATTTCACTCGACTACCGCATTCGTTAGTCGTATAAAAAATGACCGGAAACGGTTGCCCAAAGTCACTTTAATTTATGCACATTGCAAAAATTTATCGCCGCAAAATCTTAATGGTTCATTAATTTCATTATTCGTTCAACTGCAAACAAAATGGACAAATTTGTGTGCTGGTTGGACTGGCATGTGCATGAGCTTTCTAGCTATTGGCTATCGAGCCGCTGTAGAGTACATGTGTCAGCTTGTTCCTGTGGTTTGTGGACTTGACCGGGTGACAAGAAGGGTTGGTGTGGCATATTAATGAGTTGCCATACTGAGCATTTAAGCAATTTTTCTTAATTATTTTTATGTAATGCGGAGTTTTCAATTTTCTTTCCATTATTTAAAAGTCACCGTAACAGAATTAATTAAGTGCGTAGGGAAAGTAGAAGAAAGACGCGCAGAAAGGTTCCGCATAAATATGTTTTAATGGACTTGTGTTGAGATATTGGAGAAGTTGGA